TTTGCAATCCCTTCCCCCCCCCCCCCCCCCGCTCCAGCACCCCTCTGCCGTCGCCCCCCCCCCCCCGCTCCCCGCGGGCAGAAGAAAGAGCCTCGCCCTCGCAGGCAGGGGGCCACCGTGAAGGACCTCGTGAACAACTTCCTGGCGATGAGCAAGCGCGACGCAAACGATCAGAAGTGGGCAAGCAACCTCGAGGAGATCAGGCCCGCTCAGAAGGCGTTGTGCGCGTTCCTGGGCGAAGCAGATCAGCTCTTCGCCGAGGCGGCGTGCATCCCAGAGGGCGAGCCCGACGACGCGATCGTCGCGAGCATGACGAAGAAGCTGACGGAGGCGCTGCACGCTGCGCAGAAGCACCTGGACGGCGGCAAGATCAGCGCGAAGCGGTGGAAAGCTGTGGAGGGCCGAGAAGGCGCGGGGCTAAGGCGAGGGAAGGGGGCGGGGATGGGGCGGGGAGTGGCATGGCTGGTGGCGGGAGGAGGAGGAGGAGGAGGAGGAGGAGGAGGAGGAGGGGCAGCGGCGGCGGGGGGCGGGGGGCGCAGCGGGCGCATCAGGAGGAGAAGCGGGAGGAAGGGGTAGAGGGAAAGGAGGATGGGGGGAAGAACGGGGGCAGCACTGCAGCGGAAAGACACGCCAGCCCCGCTACCTGCAGGGGGCGCGGCGAACAAAAAAAAAAAAAAAAAAACGCGCGCGAGGAGGCGGCCGTCCTCCTGCGCATGCGCGCCCGAGCGAGGACGCGCCGTCAGGCAGATGGAACCGCCGCGCTTGGGCGCAGATTTACTCGTCGAGCAAGACGACCACGCGCATTTTCTGACACGACTGGCAAGGAGGCGGGGCCTCCTGGAGGATTTGAGGCGCGCGAGCAGGGGGCAGCCAGGGGGGGGGCCCGCGGCGGCGACGACGACGACGACGACGACGACGACGACGCGGCCACGACGGGGGGGAGTAAGAGAGACACCGCCGCCGCAGATCGCAGATCTCCGCCGCAGCCCGTTTTGGCTCGAGGAGCGACGGGCGAGGCGCGGGGCCGGCGGGCCGCGATGTTGCCCATGCGCCAGCCAGCCGTAGACGCCAGCGATCTGCCGCCTGCAAAGCGCCTGCGCGCGAACCTGCAGCCGCTCATGCAGCGAAATCGCTTGCCCGCGGGCGAGATTCAACTGCTGGCAGAAGATGCGCGGGCAGGGGGCCCCATGGGCGCGGGCGACCTTCGAGGCGACCCCGGGGGGCCGAACACGGCGAGGCGCTTGAAGACCAAGCCCTTGATGGGAACGCTTTGGCCCGAGGAGTACGCGGCCGAGATCCGCGCGTGGAGCCCGAAGCGACATCGGGAGGAGAAGAAGGAGGTGCCCCTCCTACTGCCGCACGAGGTGCTGCGCGCGCTGGCGGCCCACGGGGGTCTGGGCGCGCTGCTGCAGAGGGGCGGGCTGGGCGAGGGCGACCGCGCGCGCGTGGGCGACGTGGAAGCGAGGCTCCGCGGCCCCGCGGTGGCGCTCGGGCCGCGGCAGGACGGGCCCCCCACGAAGTGGGACTGATCTGCGTCGGTGGAGGTCCTGAGCATGACCCCCCTGGTCTTGATCCCAGCGGGCCACGCGGCCACCCGAGAGCCCCTTTGTTCAGCATTCTGAAATCCCTCGCGTCCACGAACACCTGGAACGACGTCTTCGGCATCGTGCGCTGGAGCTCCATGTCTCTGTGGAGGGGGTCATGCCCTCGCGCGCGCCACGACAACGCCCCGTTCTCGCACCCTTCAGATAAGTGCAGCAAAGCACAACGCGATCGCGGAGCTTTCGCAGGCCCCCTCTTGCCAGCTCGAGGCGCCCTCGTGCGATTCCGCGCGGACTGGAAGGCGTGGGAAAATAGTTTGATTTTCCTGCCAGGACCCGGGCCTCTGGGCGCTGCTGGAAGTGCGACGCACGGCCAGAGGAGGCGACTGGGGGGCTGGAGGAAAAGGCGGGGGAGGGGAAAGGCGGGGGGGGATGGGGGGGGCGCGGAAGGGCGGGGGAAGGGTGGGGGGGGAGGTGGAACAGGCAGAGGAGGAGGAGGGGGAGGGGGAGGAGGAGGAGGGGGAGGAGGAGGAGGGCGAGGAGGAGGAAGAGGAGAGGGAGCCAAAGGAAGAGGAGGAGGAGGAGGCGCGCCTCCCCGCCCCCGCCCCCTCTCCCAGGTGACTACGCTGACGTCGACGACTTCTCCGTGGGCGACGCCCGCGCACAGGCGTTCGCTGGCGGACCTCGTCGCCGTCGTTCTGCGGAACGGGGGGTCCGTCTCGCCTGCGCTGGTTCTGCCTGGCAGCACCGTCGACGTGTTCAAGATTGACTGGCTGCGCGCCGTGGACCTTGGAATCGGGGCGGACTTCGCGGGCGCGTTGCTGCGGCATGTCCCGGAGATGCTCCCGGGGCGCAACCGCCAGGAGAAGAGCGACGAGATATGGTGGAAGTGGAGGCTCATCCAGGCGCGCTACGGCGCCAACGACACGCCCGACAGATTGCACGATTTCAGCGAGCGCGCAGTGAAGGCCAAGAAAGCGCACCCGAAGTTTCGCGGCCAGGCGGCCATTCTGAGGCATCTGATCCCACTCTGCAAGGAAGCTGCCGAGACCTACTGTGCTTCTGGGAGCGCCGTCGACGACGCCGCTGCTGCCGCGCGCTGAGCGGCAGGTGCATCTTCAGGCGCGATTTGATGCGCGACTCCGCTAGCAGGTTCGCGACCCTGGTTGCCGCTCTTCAACGGCTGCAGCCGACAAATTGGCGCGTGGTGCCGAAGGCGCGCCTGCTCCTCGAGATGGCCTTCGCGGGGGGGGGCCGTCGCTGCGCTGGGCCTGCAGGAGCGAGGAACTCGGGGGCAGCGTAGGGCACGTGGCGAAGAAGCGCGGCTCCATGCTTACGGCGACGGGCTTCTCCCGATCGGTCATCGCGCGCGCCCGCATGCAGCCGATGGTGCGGCTGGCGCGACGGCCGCGGCCACGCGGGCAGAAAAGCGCGCGGGGGGGCGCGCCGCGGATAAGGGGCGAGGGGGAGGCGGCGCCTCCTGCTTCGAGGGGGCGCGCCTTCTGCTGTGGGAAGCCGCGCCTCCTTCTTCGAGCGTTGCGACGCTGATGACGACGATGCACTTCACGACGAAATGTTTAAGGCGATCGCCTTACATTTAGCGACGACATATTTCGCGCGGAGCCTTAATTAGAGCTGGGTCCTAATTAGAGCTAGATCGATGTTCATGGAGGGGCGTGGGATCTTCCCGACCCCCTGGAGCTTCTGGAAGCCTCCTGGAGGCCTGGAGAGCCGCCGGAAGGGTGTCTCGGGCTACGCGGGGGCGTGTTGGGCCGTTCTTTACGTTCTGGGGGCTCCTGGAGGTCGTCATGGGCTGTCCTTCGGCGTCTTGGGGTCCCCCCCCTGGAAGCCGGAAGGCGCGGCGCGGGCCAGATGTCAGGGGGCGCGTGGGACCCCCGAGTATGAGTCCCACTTTGAAGAAGAGGAAGGAAACAAACAAACAAAACAATTAACAACAAATCGGGGACCCCGGTCTTTTTTTCTCCAACTCCTGGATCTTCGAGGGTTGGAAGCGGGAGAACGCCGGAAGGCGAAAAACTTCAGAAAAACCATCGGGAATCAACGATGTTACCCTCTTTGGGCTCTCTCGGGACGGCTCTCGCGACTCTCTTGGGCTGTTCTTGGGGTTTCGTCGGGGTCCTTTCGGGGCCTCTCAAGGATCGGGGGCGTGTTGGGGGCCTCTGGTCCGGGAGGCTCCCGGCAGCCGCCTTGGAGCCATCGTCGGCTTCCTCAAGCGACGTTTAGACGCTTGTGTGCCCTCGTCCCTTTCTTGCGCCCGTCCTGTTTTTTTGGGGGGGCCGTCTTGGGGCCATTTGTGGCTGTGTAGGAACCATCTGGGGCTGTCTTGGGGCCATCCTGGCGGCCTGTCGGGCCAGCTTAGTTCCCATGGAAGGTCGACAGGCGAATCCTTGAAACATACACGTTTTTCCTAAGGGAACGATACCATTTTTGCCTCTTGCGGCCTTCTGGGGCAGGCTCTTGGGGCTCTCTTGGGCTGTCCCGGAGGGTCCCGGTAATTAGCCGTCTTGGAGCCATCTTCGGTTTCCTCAAGCGACGTTTGGACCCGTCCTGGGGGTCTTTTGGGGCCGTATTGGGGCCCTCTTGGGCTGGCCAAGGGCCATTTGTGGCTGTGTAGGAACCATCGGGGTTGTCTTGGGGCGATCCTGACGGCCTGTCGGGCCGTCTTCGTTCCCACGGAAGGTCGACAGGCGAATCCTTGAAAAATATACGTCTTCCCAAGGGAACGAGACCATGTTTGCCTCTTGGGGCCTTCTGGGGCAGGCTCTTGGGGCTCTCTTGGGCTGTCCCGGAGGGTCCCCGCAGCCGTCTTGGAGCCATCTTCGGCTTCCTCAAGCGACATTTCGACGCTTGTGTGCCCTCGTCCCTTTCTTGCGCCCGTCCTGGGGGTCATTTGGGGCCGTCTTGGGGCCCTCTTGGGCTGGCCAGGGGCCATTTGTGGCTGTGTAGGAACCATATGGGGTTGTCTTGGGGCGATCCTGGCGGCCTCTCGGGCCGTCTTCGTCCCCACGGAAGGTCGACAGGCGAATCCTTGAAAAATATACGTCTTCCCAGAAGGGAACGAGACCATGTTTGCTTCTTGGGGCCTTCTGGGGCAGGCTCTTGGGGCTCTCTCTTGGGCTGTCCCGGAGGGTCCCGGCAGCCGTCTTGGAGCCATCTTCGGCTTCCTCAAACGCTTGTGTGCCCTCGTCCCTTTCTTGCGCCCGTCCTGGGGGTCATTTGGGGCCGTCTTGGGGCCCTCTTGGGCTGGCCAGGGGCCATTTGTGGCTGTGTAGGAACCATCTGGGGCTGTCTTGGGGCGATCCTGGCGGCCTATCGGGCCGTCTTCGTTCCCATGGAAGGTCGACAGGCGAATCCTGAAACAGTATACGTTTTCCCTAGGGAACGGGACCATTTTTGCCTCTGGGAGCATTCGGCGTCGCGGAGATAGGACCTGGAGTCGAAACTTGAAATCAAGAGTCGTCGGAGATGCCAACACCACAGTCGTTTACACAACAATTGGAGTCGGCAAAGTGGACGCCAGAATGGGAGAGACGGGAGCAGAAGTCGCATAGTTGGAACATCATAGCCCCGAGCTCAGCAGGGCAGAGGTTGCTGGTAAATCGCTGGTGGGGCAGTTCTAGCTGGGAATGCTATAGATTATAAACAAAGCGCTTTGCAGCGGCAAGAATCACTCAAAGATGCGCTACCGCGAAACGAGCCATTCCAGAAGAAGGGGCCGTGAAGCCAGGAAGCCCAAACAGAGGAAGGGAGGAAGGGAGGGTTGGGAGCAAAAACAGAAAGGCACAGCCAAGGTAGCTCGGCTGTGCAGAGCAGCGCAGCTGGCCTGCAGTCCACATGGCCGTACAAGGCCTAGAGCAAACTGGCGGGGAGAGCCTGGCCATCCTCCTGCAGTGGTTGTCTGAGGCCCAGAGCAGTCGGACAGACATATGGCGAAGCGGGTGATGCCTCAGAACGCTACACCACCACAAGCCTCAGAACGCTGCACCTGCAAAGATGGCCAATGTCGCTGGGGGCATTCTGGGGCAGGCTCTTGGGGTTCTCTTTGGCTGTCCCGGAGGCCCCCGGTAGCCGTCTTGGAGCCATCGTCAGCGTCTCCAAGCGAAAGTCGGAGACTTGTGCACTCCCTGGATCTGTTTGGTGGCCTCCGGGGCCCTCGGCGGCCGTCCCAGGGGCGCCCCGGAGCCCCCGGTCCCCCCATGCGCTGTCGAGATCGCGGTCCCGGGCCCCAGGGCCTCGTGTACGGGGATATATATATATACATACATATACATATAAAGATGTGTATATACATGTATATATATAATTGGAAAGAGATAGAATAGCACAAGCGAAAAGAGAGAGAGAGAGAGACAAGAGAGAAAAAGAGAGACCGCCATCATGGTACTCGATATATTTTCTTAAGCCCAGAACGACCGTGGCTCGGCTGGCAACTGGTGCAACTTGATCTTCATTCGCCGGGACCAATACTCCACGACGAACTGCAACCACACCAATAGATGACGCAGAGGGGTTCGAACCGACCCTTGCTATGAGAGATGCGCAATTCTCAATCGGGGCCTGTGCTCCAAACGTATTATGATTGGACTGCATCGCGTACGGATGGCATGTCCGGAGCCGATGCACAACACAACTCGACTGGTGAACGCTTAGATGAGGCTCTTGCACAGAGAACCTGCTACGCACCTGCGCACACAGCGAGTAATTATTTCAGGAGTATCGTCGATGCTTGGATGAAGCTCTACAACACTACGCACCTGCGCGCACGAAGTCAAGAACCGATGTGTGCGAGTAATTATTCCAGGCGTGTCGTCGCGTAGTACGGAGCACGGGGTCAAGCAGGGGATCGACGACAGAATTGATTTACTCCAACATTATTGTTCGTCGAATCTACGAACAATACGCAGCATGTTCGGAAATTCGACAGCCAGTTTACGCATTGTTTGATTCGGCAAGAAAAACCGAATACGAGGAAAATCTATGTTTTGGTCGATCCCCTACTCGAAAGAGGATCGGAGTGAATCGGAGCTACGCGAAACGGGCTGCGCCTGGACGCCACTGGCGGGGGCGAGCTGTCAACCTACAGAGTGGGCTGCAGGCCGAGAGAAGCAGGGGCAACGGCTAGGGGGGGGGAGACTATCGAGTAGGAGATCGACGATAGACTTGACTTACCCAAAAAGCGAGTTGTTCGGTCGAGTCTGCGAAGGTACGTCGAGTGCTTCGTAGATCTACTGAGCATTCAATTCGTATTTCGTGGATTCGGTGGAAATTGAGTTTGGGTGAAAGCAATTATGTAATCGATCCCCTCCTCGAAGACTGGCACAGGGGCGGGCGCATCGACATGGAATCGGCGATGCATCGCCGATAGATCGACGATAAATCCCCGAAAGTGAAACCGCACGATCCTGGGAAGGTTGGGGCTATCGGGCACCTATCGGCGATCAATGGGCGATTGGGGATCGATGCATTCCCCCCCTATCGACCCCCCCCCCCATCGATGCCACTGGGAGAAAGAGGGAAGAATGAGGACAGAGGGGCATCAATCTTGCCGTCGCTCGGACGTATATGCCCTTGCGGTGTTTCTGTTCGTTCGTGATTCTGACTTTCCAAATGGTTAATTATTTTCCTGGCGATGTCCGAGCGATGCCGAGCAATCGTTCAACGGCCCAGGCCTCGTCTCTATTGCATATATGGCTTCGAAAACGTGCCTGTAGATCGTGCCGTCACGGGCCACACCGCAGTGGAATGCAAATCGTCGCCTAAATGGCAAAGCAAGACCAGGCGCGCCGGCCACCAAATCTTCGAAAAGTGAAGTACCATCGCGAAGTGCCCGCAACCCACGATCAAGCCCGTGCGTTCGCAGAAAAACAAATACAGAAACATAAATAAGTGTCGAAAAGGTCCGCGCGGATTCTTCAGTTCGGCGCCGGACCCCCCCCTCCACCCTGGTGCGCGGAGCGTGTTACGGGCGGCGCGGGTGGCGCCGCCCGAGTGGTCCAGCGCAGGTCTGCGAAATCCGCGCGGAACCTCGAACATTCCCAGACATCCGTCGAATTTCGCCAAACAATGTTTGGACTGAACTTGTTCTGCTACCCCTTCGAGGAACTGAGCTCGTGTGCCGCCCCAGCCGGCTTGTTCTCGCCCCGTCGCCGCCTCGTCGCCGCTGGCACCCGCCCGTCGCCGCCTCGTCGCGGGCTCGTTCACACCCCGGGCGGTTTGTTTTCGCCCCGTCGCCGCCCTGTCGCCGCTGGTCGCCACCCGTCACCGCCGCCCCGTCGCCACATTTCGTTGCAAACGTACTGAATCGCGCTGCAATCGAATCGCATTGCGATCGCAGTCCTTTTGCGATAGCAATGCAGTCGCGGCGCGATGCTTTGCGTTGTTCCGAAAAGATGCACATTGCTGTATATTGCCCCACGAAACTCACACCATGCATACACATGTATTCAAACGAACAACTTGCATCACTAAGACTGCACTGCGTAACTTAAGCGCATAGATCGCACCGCGGGGAGTCTCGCGTCTAAAAAAAAATTCGGGTCTACCGCCCTACCCCCGCGAACAGGTCCGCCCCCCTGGGGATACGCGGTTTACGCGCGCGGCCCCATCGTCCATCTCCCATGTGTGCTCATATCATCCCATGCAGGCCCGTGACCCCCCCCATCACCGTTGGTAGAACAAGCAATGCGCGCGCGCTCTTTTTTTCCCCAACCATCCTGTGGTGTTGGGTCCTCGTTTTGAAGAGACGGTGCCCCGCGTTCCTCTCCTCTACTCCTCCTCCCCTCCTCCTATCGTCCGCATGCGCCCCCCCCACCCAATACAGCGCTTCGTGGCCCCATAGGGAGTCCCACCGAAGGTCCCAGTGCTACCGTCTGCATGTGTCCTCCGCACCAAGTACATCGCTACGTGGCCTCATAGGGAGCCTCACCAAAGGTCCCAATGTAACCGTCGGCATGCGTCACCCCCACCCAGCAGCGTTTCGTGGCCCCCGCCCGCATGCGCCCCCCCCACCCAGCACAGCGCTTCGTGGCCCCATAGGAAGCCCCACAAAAGGTCCCAGTGCTATCGTCCGCATGCGTCCCGAAAACCCAATTTGGCATTTTCACCCACTCAATACAACGTTTCGTGGCCGTACACACAGACAGATAGGCAGGATCAATCAGCAAGCAGAAACTTCCCTTCCTTGGCACACTTACCCGTACAAAAATACCCGAGTTGGCCCCAAACCCAAAGACACATTACCCTTTTCAGAGGTCCTCAGGGAGTTCTTGGTTCGGCGCTGGGACCATAACGGCGCCTCTGGCGCCGCCCCCGGCGCGCTCCGCGCTCCAGGCCTTCGCAAGAACCTTTCTGGGACTTAACCGTAAGCCCTGAGGCCTGGGTGGAGCCTGCGCGATCAGCTGCGCGGCAGCCTGGCGTCGCCAGGCCTGAGGCAGCCAACGGACTACGTGAAATTTCCCGCATGACGTAGCCGATCGCATACCTGTCGACGAAAAATTGCTCCTCGGCGATGCTCCGATCTCGCTCCTCGGGGACGTTCTGGTCGATGCACCGCGTGACGAACTGCAGCGCGCCGGCTTGGAGCAGCCGCTCTGCTGCGACCCCGCTGACATAGCCGACTGCATGCGTGACTACTTGTTTTCTTGGAATTCTTCGTCGATCGGCAAAGGGTTTCTCCTTGGGGGCGCCTTGGGCGCAACCCATCCTATGTCCTGGGCGTCCCGTGCTCGAGATCATTTCGGGACACAGCTTCCTTAAGCAACACAAGTGAGGTACAAGAGAACTCGAACACAACAACACATAATCGCAATCGCACCAACTATGATGCCCACTATCAAAAAATCTATGTTCGCCGTCTTTTCCGTGTCGACAATGAGACCCGCCGGCGCTGGCGTTGGTGCTGGTGTTGGCGCTGGTGTTGGTGTAGGCGTGGGCGCGGGCGTTGGCGCAGGCGTCGGTGCTGGCGTTGGTGCGGGCGTAGGCGCTGGTGTTAGGTGCGGGCGTAGGTGCTGGAGTCGGTGCAGGGGTGGGCACTGGGGTCGGTGCTGGCGTAGACACCGGGGTTGGTGCTATGCACAAATCAACAACGGCGACGCAAGTCATCTGCTACATGTTCTGTCCCATCGTCTGCGTCGGCACAAAAAGAGGGCGCAGGGGTCAGCGCTGGCGTTGGTGCTACCGGCACTTGAAGTCGGTAATGGTGCAGGCGTGGGTCGGTTGCTGGCGTTGGTGCAGGCGTTGGCGTTGGTGGCCCGCCAAGTAAGATAGCAGAGGACCACATCGTCTCCACCTCCGCGCTGCCATCCTCGGTTGATGTCGTGGTGACGTCCGCGCCGCCAGCGCCACTTGAGAGCACGGCGATGGTGCCCAAGGACAGCTTCACGAGCGTCAGGACAAAATGCTGACGCCCATGGTTAGCCATGTGCGCCGAGGCTGGCCGCAAACTATCTGTCATGCGGTCGTCGCGGCAGATTTCGTCGGGAAACGGCCAAGGATAGCCCAGCTGCTTTGGCTCCCAAGTGCACAGCGAAAGCAACGCGGGCTTGAGCCAACATGCCACGAGAGGAGGAGCTTTTTTTCCCACCGCAGGACGCACACCAATAATGCATATCCATGGTCCGTGATCTGCGAGGGCCACGCCGCGGCAGGCCAAGCCTGCCATAGTCGAGGCCCGTGCAGGAGGGGGGGCAGCAGCAGCAGAGGAGCAGCGAGGGGGGAGAGGGAGGAAAGGGTACGTGAGGCCAGCGCACAGCGAGATGCCGCTCATCGGCGACTCGCGGGGGGTACCGTGGTACCTCGCGCGCGGGGACGGGCGGGGCAGTCCCGCCCGCTACCGATCCTCCCGTGCGAGAGTCCTCGGCAGCGGGGGGGCGCACTCGGCAACGGGGGAGGACAGAGTCCATGCCCCACAGGCCACGGGCGCTTGCGACCCAGGCCACCGTCACCTCGACCCACAACCCAGGCCCTAGGAAACGCCTCGACAAAAGTGAGAGGCGAGCATCCTTCCTCCCAGAGAGGCGCAACGGGCACAGTTGATCAAATCGTCGACGGGGCGGGCGGCGGGGGCGGCAGGGAGCGGCGGGGCGGGTGCACGCGCGCCCCCGCGCGCGCTCCCCCAGCCAGGCGAAGCCCCAACCCCGGCAGCGGCAGCACCAGCACAGCGGAGCAGCAGCAGCGAAGAGGACCGAGGGGGCGGGCAGGAAGGAAGGCAGGGGGAAGAGGGGGGGGCAGGGGCGGGAGAAAACCGAGGACCCAACAACGCCCACCCCGCAGGGGAGAAGCAGCAGCAGGGGCAGGGAAGAGAAGGAAGACAGCAAACGACAGGAGAGGCAGCACAAGAACAGACGCGCGAAAGAGGGAAGGGAGCGGTCACACTCAGACGCCATCACTTCACGCGGCAGCCCGCACCGTACGCCGTGCCCTGAACTGGCGAGCGACACCAGCATACCGACGAGCAAGATGACGCAATCGAGCAACGAAGACCTGGGAAGCGGGGACCTGAGTCTGGCGCCGATGGTGAGCATGAGTCTTCAGGAGGGCATCGAGGAAGGCGGCGCAGGCAACGTCGCGGTCGAGTCCCCAAGAAGGCCCCATCAGACAGAGACATGTGAACCATGTATCGCGGTGCTGCCACATCTCCCTCCACGGCGTGGGTAAGGCCTCCAAGCCCGGGAGACGGTGCAGTGCCAGGTCACGGAAACGATCGCAGACTTTGTAGTGGAGTAGGTCATCAGGACCCGCACAACCAAAGCAGCAGCCACGGTCATTCGCATGAAAACGTGCCGAAGTACACACGCCCCTGGACAGTACGCGGAGAACGTTGGTAGCGAGATGGGTGCACGTGGCACGCCCCACCGCGCGCAATCTAGTCCGCAGACGGAACATATCCTCGAGGGAGACTGCAACTAACCACCGCGATACCCGTCACCCAGACACAGTAAGGGAGTGGCAGTCATACGCACCGAACGTAAGTGGCGATGGACCAGGGCCTGGATAGAACGGGCTGTCCGATCAATGGGAGAGTTCACAAGGTCCGCCGCATCCTCATTCGTCGTGCGTATCATCGAATGGCACCACCATCCAGAAACCGTCCGAGCAGGGATAAATTCATCATCGGTCAAGCCACTCGCTAAGCCCTCTAACTCAGATAGAGCATCGTCTAACGCCTTGCACCGCATCACTACCCGAAGCTTCGTTGCTTTATCAAACAGCCCCAGGTCCACAAACTCAAGGGGGATCCCCAGGTCACGTAACTGAGTGAGCATACTGTAACTCAACGCATGCCGAGGCCCCGCGGTAAGGATCTGCAGCGCTTCCCTATGCTGACGCCGAACCGAAGGGGTGACCCGCGCCAGCTGAATCCGATACTGCAAGACGGAGAGGCAATACGAATGGAACAGACGGGTAGTGGTCGCCAAGCCCAGCGAGAGAGAGCGAAGAAGACGAACTCGCTGCCAGAACTTCTTCATCGTATTCCACCCAGGCCACCTCATGGGCCGACGGGCCCACCCAGAATCCGAGGTACAGAACCCTGGTGGCGAAACGGACAGAGGCAAAACGGCCTCCCTTCCGAACCACGTGGGCAGCGAGGGCGTCTCCATCCAGCGTCCCGCAGATCAGGACGTAGCATTTCCCCGCATTCAAGGAGAGACCAATCGCGGACGAGAGCAAGTCGAGAAGCAGCAGAGTGGGCATGATATCGATGGGAACGTCACGCAGTCCAAAACAACAGTCATCAGCATGCGCCAATTGGACCCCCACACGCTCGACACGGCGGGCACGGATCCAGCGCAGCACAGGATCAAAGGGCCAGAGCAAAGAGGGTCATGGAAGCAAGATCGCCCTGCCGCACACCGCGTTCCACAGGGAAAACCGTTTCGGCAGCGCCCTCAAAACAGACGAGGGCCGTATTGTTGGCATACAGGGCTCTGAAGAAACCCACCGTCTCGCTGGGAACCCCCATAGCCACCGCAACTGCAAAAATCCACTCCACCAGAATCGAAGGGAAGGCCGCCTTGAAATCGGTGAATAGGACCCCCGCTTTATCCCTCCCACACATGCGTTGAAGGAGGCCCCATTTTTCCACCTCGACAACATTGTCCAGAATGTTACGCCCTCGTACCCCACCTCGCTGGGAGGAATCCACCGTCGCAGGGGCGACGTCGTTGAGTCCGAGACAGAATGCATCGGAGAGGATCTTCGCATCCGTGTTCGAGAGGGAGAGCGGGCGGGTGGAGGCAGGTGCACGTGAGACAAGTCACTGCGATCACGTGGGTCGCTGCCCTTCGGTAGGAAGACCATGCGACTGACTCGACAATCAGGGGGGAGTGAATCTCCTGCACTGTTGAAAACCTCCTCGTAAACCTCGAACAAGGCAGCGGTCGCCTCAGGGACCTTCCAGCATCCATGCGGGATCCCATCAGGACCAGAAGCAGAATGAAACTTATGGCAGACACGGCCCCGGAATTCGTCAACGTCAAGTTTCCATCGGGGGGCAGGAAGAAAGCCGGCAAAAATCTGAACATGGGCCACAATTTCTGGCCAATGAGTCGGATCGTGATCAGCCTGGGCAAAGACCGTACTCCAATGGGCCACCAGAGCCGCAGTCGCCGCTTCAGGGGAGGCACACGGGGTCCCGTCCTCGTCCAAGACGCCTAGCAGCCCAATCCTCCTCCTCATGAGATCCCACCCACGCCGAAGAGACACCGGCCTCCGCCTCTTCTTGGCCCTCACCTCCTCCACCTGGTTTCTATGATCCAACTCCTCCAGCTCCGCATCAAACCATCGTCCCTTCAAGGTCAGTACCAAACTGTGGAGGCCATCAGGGTCAATGCACACGCCGCCGTCGCCGTCGAAGAAAGGCAGGAGAGAGGCGCAGCAACGAATGGCACGCAGACAGAGATACCACTGCCGACCCCGCCACCCACGGTATGCCATGAAAGCAAAGTGGTGCCGCTCCGCATCGATGGCCGCAGGGCGACACTTAAGGGACTTCATAAATTCCACAGCAGCCGCGCCGAAAACTTCTTTCACCCGCGCGAGTTTCTGGGCAGGGTCCGACGGGAGCGTGAGCTCCCGTAGCTGTTCGGAAACCATCCTGTGATAGTCGGCATGCTGGCTGATCCATTTCGGAACCGGGAGCCGACCCCTCGGGGTCGGGAGGGGAGCCGCGGCAGCAACGGGAATGTGTTCGGAAGAAGCCCCTGGATGCATGAGGGTGCCGACAGCGTTGACAACGACGGTCATCTCATGGAAGATACCTGCAGGAAGGGTCGTGTAAATCCGATCCAATCTGGCCAGACCCCTCAACTCCCGATTCACAGTATCCCTACGGGTCGGGTCGGGTTGGTATAATTCACACCAATGGCTACAATGTTCCTGAAAAGCGTCGCATTGCAGGCGGTCCCCAGGCCCAGATCTCCCCCGAGACTAAAGAAGTACCATCCTCCATCGTACAGAAATTCCAGTCGCCCAGAATGACAACCACAGTATGCGCCGCCGCAAGAAGGGCGGTGTTGATGAGGCGCAAGCACTGATGATAGATATGGACATCATCGCACGTGTTAGGCATATGAACATTGACCACGACCAAGTCACCTCGAGGCCCCCGACCATGGACGAGTAGAATCCGCCCAGGAACGACCGCAATCGGAGCGATCGAGTCGAAACTGTCACAGAGATCCGAAGACAGGTAAGTCACCACCCCACCCGCAGTCCGATCATCCAGAAAGCTCCCAGAAAAATTGCCCAATTCGCATTTCGTCCCGAAGGATAACCAAGTCTGCTTCAGATCCGTGCGTCTCCTGTAAACACATGACCTGATACTGTAAGAGCAGCTGCTTAGCCCGAAGGAAGCGTGAACGTGACCGGGGCGACCGAGACGAGAGAGAGGCAAAGAGCGCGCGCGTGTTCCAACTGCATATAGAAAGAGGACGGGCAGGACGGTAGACTCCACCAGCTTCCCCAGCAGGCGGCGAGAAGGATAAAGCGCTGTCACTTGCATGGTGTGCAACAAAATTGGCAGAGAGGGCGGGCGAGCACTCAGTAGCCGAACCCACTGGACTTCTCCCCGCCGCCCTATCTCCTGTCGGGCCGCTCCGATACTCACCGAAAGGGGCGAATCTCTGCAAACCTGGAGTGCAGACGCTGTGCGTGTTGCTGCCCGCCCACTTCCGTCAGCCCATCGATTTCGACGCCACACTGGGCGGTGCCCGCAGCGGGGCCATCCTCGACAATGAAAATCTTTACCACCTGCACAGGGACTCCGTTGTCCATCATCACATAAATCGCACCTCCTAGTCCCGTCGACCCAACCTTGTCCGCCCCAAAGATTCTGGAGACCTGCTGGCGCATATTCCCAAGATAGTAGAACAGCTGCCTGGACGAGGGGGGGGGGGGGTCGCGTCGAACCCGTAGCTGCAAGTCAGGGCCGCCCTCGGGGTTCGGGAAGGGGAACGCGCCCACAGACGAGGCCATCCCGTGGAAAGTGGAAGCCTCTAGGTTGGAATCAAAGTCAAGGAACACCTTCTTGCTGCAAT